AAACATACATGGTACAAATTAGTAACTGTATTCTAAAAACTTTATTTTCCAGGTGCATGATAATCAACTGACAACGCTTCCTTCTGCTTTAGGACAATTAGAAAATCTTCAGAAACTTGATGTCAGGTAAGTACATGTTGCGAAAGTGGAACATGAGAAATATTGCAGTGACTTTCACAGTGTGAATAAGAGATTGCAGTATATCAAATTTGCTTTCAGAAAATTAATTTCAGATTTTTAGAGATATTAGTATATTGAGAATCGTACTTTTTGGATCAAAACTGATGGTCTTGGGTTTGTTAAAATTATTTTCACTATTACTCGAAGTCACAGTCTTGCTTGGAAGGTGAAAACTGGTATTTTGAATAATCACACAAAAGCAGTATCTACATTCATGTGCCTCAGTCTGGCAGTTTTGTTTTAAAGGAACAAAAATACTTTTTGTCATGAATAATATATATTAAAAAATAATTGTATAGATCTTGTTCGTGCTGGAAAGTTCATATTCTTCAATTTACTGGAGTAATTTTTGTAAATTTGTGCACAAGGAGAAAGAGGGTATGCTGCCGCTGTGCGTGTGAACTACATAGAAGAATGTAAGATCCATCTGGAATACTGTAAATTCAGATGAGGATTAAAAGTATTTGTGAACAAATAAACAAACATAACTAATTTCTTCTAGGGAACTAATCCGTTGTAGAGGGCTGTAACAGTTGTAGGAGACAGATTTTTCTTAAAGGTGACGGTATTCTGAACAGCAAGCATATGTGCATGCTGCAATGTGAGAATGTTTTGTAAAAGCCTGTCTCACTGCAGAGGTAATTAACAGCTAGTCTGTGCCAGCACGGAATATCCGGTGTATCTGGTGCTGGATGTGCTTCGTACTTGCTCCAGGGTCTGAAGAGTTTGTGTTTCAACAGGCCATGTGTGGCTAAGATAATCTGGCTGATAAAAGTGTTGTAACTCTAGTTGGGATAGCATCATATGTAACACAAGTGTTCTTTATGCAGTTATGTTCTTAAAGCTACTTAGTAATTGGTTTTTCCCTTTGTGTTCCATGTTTTAATACTAGCCACAACAAACTGAAAACTATCCCAGAAGAGTTGATGCAGTTGTCACATTTGAAGAGCCTTCTTCTTCATCACAATGAGCTGAGTCACTTGCCGGATGGATTTGGACAGCTTGTCAATTTAGAAGAATTAGTAAATTACAACTTTTTGAAAAATACTTATTTGTGCAGAAAGGCTGATTTATCCATGTTTTGCTACTGCTAATTAGAAAAAAACATAGCTTAGATGGTTTGCCACATATTTTGAGAAAAATCAGATCCCTTGTGATTTGTCAGTCATGGGAGACTTGTTTCTTCCATTCACATTTCTACCAGGGAGATCCTGAAGATGTCAGCCATCCAATTTTAATGTTCTGCCAGTAATTAACTTTGCAGTAGCAGTACTCGTGGGATATTTTAAACAACTCTATTTCTAACCTCTCTCTCTTCCTCTCTCTCTCTTTTTTTAATCTTCAGGATCTGTCCAACAACCATCTCACAGACATTCCAACAAGTTTTGCTTTGCTCATTAACTTAGTGCGACTCAGTTTGGCTTGTAATCAACTCAAGAGCCTGCCTGCAGATATCAGTGCAATGAAAAGTAAATTAGTTTCCTTAGATTATTAAATGCCATACAGCCAGTTGTGTACTTGTGTTCAGAAATGTGCATATTATTCAGGATTTAAAAAACATATTCTTAAAGAGTTCCTGTATTCTCAAGAATATTAGTTCAGAATTATTTTTAAAAAATCAGCTACAGCTACTGTATATCAAACTTGACTTCTCTTATGGTTCACATTTCTTGATAAATGGGACATGGAATGATCAGAAAAGTGTAACGATTAATATTATTCTGCTTAGAACTTGTTAGCCTTAAGACTGCAATAAGCAATTTGATAATTGTTTTTTCTTTATTGCATGGTTTGAGTGGCAAATAAAGCATAAATGAGAGGGAGATGAAATTACTGGAGACCAAAAACCCCATAAATTAGAGAGTGATAAAATTGAATTCTAATATTTGAATGTTAAATATCAAGCTGTCCAGTGGTTGATACGAAACATGTATTTTAATAGCTGTGGAAGATCTACAGGAACAGGTGGTAGACTGCCAGCTTTCATAAATGCTGTAGAACTTACCTGCAGATCTTTCTGAGATGGTCTACAATATTGGATCCTTTCTTGTTCCCTCCAGTCCTGTACTCTAAACAAGAGCTAGTATCTGGCAGTGTCATTGAAAGCATTCCAAAATGCCCTATGAAGAACAAATGAAAAGCAGATGCCTTGCTTTCAGAAATGTTGATGCTAACTGATTTGATTTCTTCTAAACTTCTGATTGGCAAAATGTTGTTACATTTATTTTAAAAACCAGGATATTTATGCTTCTGTAGAAAACGACTTATTTTCTCTTTCTTTTCCGTTTGTCACTTGCACGGTTACTTCTGTAGGCTTAAGACAACTGGATTGTACTAAAAACTACCTGGAAACTGTACCTTCTAAATTAGCAACTATGGCATCTTTGGAACAACTTTATCTGAGAAAAAATAAATTACGTTCCTTACCAGAATTTCCCTCATGCAAATTACTGAAGGTAAGGTTTGAAATGGTTGGTATACTGTAAATGTATTTGTTGTAAACTTTTAAAACAATAGCTGTTACTTTAAACACATTTTTTTGTGAATTGCTGTGATCAAAAGTTTCTATTTCTGTGTGTAGAACTCTGATATATCCCCATTTGCAATTACTGTCCACACTGGTCAATCTTAAGGTCACTTGGAAGACAAATTTGCAGCAGTACTCTTCAGATGTGGTAAATAAAAGAACTATTCAGAAGAGGAATGACTAAAAAACTAGATCTAATATTGCCTGCAACAGTTATTTTTTTTATCTCTAGGACCATTTTCTGGATAAATTTACTTTGTTCACTATCATTTTTTTTATTGGTAACTGCAGAGAAAGTATACTTTTTTTTTCCCCCCTTTTGGCGTAGTCAGATCGTCCAACTATTTTATACCCTTAATTCCTAATATGTTTAAAATTGAAAATCGCTTGCCTCAGAACATCAGAAAGTTGTTACTCAACTAAGAGAAAAAGGATTGGGCCAGTTGAATGCCTGTATTGCTGTGTTGTTTCCAATGACCAAATCCATCAAAGAATGCAGATGCCTTCTTAGTTCTGCATAACTGTGAACTCAGCAGTTAAAATCCCAAGTTATTTCAGCATTTTCTAACAAAATTTGTGTTGGTACGTGAAATTCAGTGTCTTAGTGTGTCCAGCAGCATGTGTATGTGTTTTGGTCTAAAGAACCATTCAGTTTTCCCATTTTAAGTGGAACATTTCCAATAGGGACATGGAGAGCTGCCCTCTCAACTTCCTGTAACTTTGAATTTAAGAAACTTCTGAGCAAAGTCGTCATTGACAAATGCAGAGCAAATTTATTCCTAGCTTGGAAATGGAACTCAAAGTTGAGGTTTCTGTGATGGTTTTGAAAAAGCTAAGTTCAGACTCATGTCTCTGGATCTTTGGAGGCTTTGATATTTCATACACAGATGAAAGGGAATCAAGAACTTTGTTTTCTCCATGTCACCATACGTTTTTGCCAGTGCCATGATTTAGGACATTACTAAGTTATAAAGTAATTTTACTAGAGTAGCATAATTGTAGGTGGTCTTTGTTTCTGTAGGAATTACATGCTGGTGAAAATCAGATTGAAATACTAAATGGAGAGAATCTGAAGCATCTGAATTCCCTCTCTGTATTGGAACTTAGAGACAACAAGATAAAATCAGTTCCTGATGAAATTACTCTGCTTCAGAAGCTGGAGCGACTTGACCTCACCAACAATGATATCAGTAGGTAATATGAAAAACTGCATTATGTCTGTGATGAGGCATAGCTAATGACACCTAATTGTATAGCTGATGTATTTCACTTTGTAATATGTAATTAAAAAAAGGCTCAATCATAAAATGAAGGAACCTTTTCTATATTGTGTAAATGTTATGATCAAACTGCCTTTCTTAAATGTAATACCTTCTGTATCTTTTTATTTGAACCTGAGCTTCGGAATACCAGGCCATCTGACAAACCATTGCAAATTCTTTAGAATTTGTTTTGAAGCTGCTTTGAAATGAGTTGTTTCCATTTGCAGATTGCCTTACACATTGGGGAACCTTCCTCAGTTGAAATTCCTGGCATTAGAGGGAAATCCTTTGAGAACCATTCGAAGAGACCTTCTGCAAGTAAGCGCTGTAGACAATATATAAAGTTTGGTTATGTCGCATATGTACATTATCCAAATTGTGTAGACAAAACATTTAAAAAAAAAATAGAAAACATCCAGATTTCAAGTAGCCTGTGCAACTTTAATCCCTCTCTTGTTCCTGTGTGTTGTGGTTTGGGTACTGTTTCCACTGGGGTCTGAGGCAGTGCATAAGATCATGAGGACAGTGGAATAAAGGAGGTTGTTGTGTTACAGGACATTTCTGATTTGCTACAGAAGTTTTATATTGCAAATGAAGCAATGGATGTCTGGGGAGAAAAGGATAAGGCAGCTGTCTGCTGCCTAATCCTGTTGCAGTCACAGTTCATCACAGTGCTAGGCAAGTACTTTACATCAGGCTTTTCCTAGATGAGCGTGGATTTCTGATGGATTTCTGATTTTCATTTCCTAGTTGCCTGAATTAAGGATCTAGGATTCAATTTCCAAAGCGTATTTGATGGCAGATGCATTTTGAGCAATGACAAGCTGATGTACTACGTTTTCTTACAGATAACCTACACCTCAGATCTGCGTTCTCTCTGTAGGTGACCAGCTAAGTGAAGGTGTGAATTGTGCATGAGAAAACAAGTACATAGGGCAGCAGGGAGGCTGGAGCATGGGCAGTACCGCAGCTATAGAATTCCCTTTTATTTTTTCCCCCAGCAGGCCCCTCTCTTCTTGTTGGTGGTATACATTACTTGTTTCTGTGCTTTTGCCAGTGTTATAAATGTTTACAAAGCACTGGGAATTCTCTAAAAATAAGCAACAGTGAAGACTGTTGAAATGAAATTTTGTAACATCTCTCAGAAGAGGGAAAACATGGTGTGTCTGATTAAGTGAACATTGTATGCACTAAATTAATGAGCAGGGGATGGAAGTCATATGTGATTCCAGAGCTCAAAGCTGGCTTAAAATGTACATGCAAAGGAGTCTGAGTTAGGGTTGCCTGGCTACTTTAGTTCTGGTATTCCCTAGCTTCTAAGGATTTGCTGTCTTTCAAATGTAAGAGCACAGATGTCTGTAATTTCTTGTGTATATTTCAAACTTGTAGCAAACGACAGGTACAAGGATTCCCTTATGACATTTTATACTTAAATTGTCTTGATCCCTTACCAACACTATAAATTCACGTAACTGGAATGTTACATGCCTATCTAGATTTTTTTTACACTTGATTTAGAGGAGTAATTGATAAAGCTTGTAGGGTTCCCCAGGCACTTCTTAGCAGCAGGTGAATACTGAGATTAAGGATTGGCAAGGACCAGGGGGTAAGGGTAGTCTAGCAGGCACAGATTCTTCTCTTGTCCATCCCTGCTCCATCTCATGTTTTCCTTTTCCTCAGACCTCTTATTCAAGTCCCAAACCCATTCTTGTTTCTTGATAAATTTCCAGTCGTCATCTGTTAAATCCTAGTCTCTCCTTCTTGCGTAACATACCATCACCTGGCTGTTGAGCTTTGTCTTACTGTCTGCTTTCCTCTCCATGCAAGCCAGGTGACTGTTACTTAGCTTTCTGTTTGACCTTCACCTTTTCCTTAAAAGTTTCCAGGTTCTTCTATATTGGCTTCTTTTGTCTTGCTCAGCTCAGCTCATGCCACGCCTAGCCATGCCTGAAGTCAGTCCCAGTCTCCTCTGGCCTCTCTTTCTCAGTCTTTCCTGTTTCTGTTGTCTCACCAGGTTCCTTGTGAGAGTTCCTTCCTTTCCCACTTCCACACTTCCTTTACCTCCTCTGCATTCAGATCAGTCAACCTCTTACTGTGTGTAATATAGTTGTCAGCTAGAATGAGAAATGTTAATTCATATTCAGTGCTTCAGGTCAGTCCCTGGCTTTAAAGCATGAAGAAACATGTAAAATTGTAAGGAAAAAATAGCTTTATCCTAAAACAAATAGGCTGGATGAGATTATGCTTAATTACTCCTAGATTATGCAGATAGTAACTGTGTTTGACCAGTAGAAGTTTCTATGAGAGGACTGAAAGTCAAATCGTTGGAGAACCCAGCTGTTAAAAATCCATGCAAATTATGTAAACTGCAGTGTTTTTCCCAGAGTTTATAATTTTGGACATAAACAGTTACTGGAACACTGAACAGTCAGCTTCCTTGACAAATTTTAAGTCTCTTCTCCAAAGCATAATTGTTTTAGACCTTTTTAAAGAGAAAGTTAAGTTTATTTGAACATTTTTTCCTTGCTCTTGGAACTGGCTAACTGCTTTAGAGAAAAAGCTAAAAACATGGAGCCTGAGGTAGTGACATGGGATTGGAAATTTTCATCTGGAATAAATAAACAAAATTGTAAATAAGCAAGTTCATAAGTTGCTACAAAGAGGGTTTTTCTATGGGAAGCATTAGATGGCTTTTATAGTCAGCAGTGCTGTGGGCTCCACCTGTGTGACTGGAACTGTCATTCTTCATTGTCAAACGGCTGTGTAAGTACTGGCAGGCAAAAGGTTATTGACTCTTTTTTTTTTTTTTTTTTTTAAAGAAAGGCACCCAGGAACTTCTGAAATATCTAAGAAGCAAAATGCAAGGTATGTTGCTCTATTGCATTGCATTTTAAAGAAAATCTTTCTAAGAAATTAAAATGAAGTAGAACCTACGGAAGCTGTTTCAATCCAGTTGCCTTCAGTTATCCTGCAATAATAGTTTTCTTTGCTCAACGGTTTGCTCTCTCATTTCAGTGCTGTTCCGTTTTCTTATTCCGTTAGATAATACTGAATAACAAACATTGTTGAGGATTATAATTTAGAATAACAATTTTAAGTATTTTTCCCTGATCCCTTTATGAGTTTTGCATGAGGAATTCCAGTAGCTTTTTTATTTTCCCCCTGAACATCATGGGAAGTTTACATAAGGGATTATTCTTTTTAAGCTTGCCATCTGTCTGCTGGCATGGTCACAGTATAGAAGAATAGGTGAGATTTTGCAAAGGTACTGTGTGTTATTCATTCATGTAATAACATGAGCAGTACAGTCCTGTGATTCCCAGAAAGTATGTGCATAAAAAAGTCTGCCTTAAAGTCTCAGTGATGCCATGAAGTCTACCACATAGCTGACTAAGAATATAAAGTTTTGGGGGAGAAAGTAACTGATTATTTTAAACATCATTCTAATCCTGGCCTGTTAGAATTCATCTTTCTACTATCTAATAGTCTTGATCCCAACGTTCCCTATAGAAATAATTAAAAAGTCATAAGGCAGAAAATCAGATGAAATATTTCAAAGGGATTACTTCTCTGCACAAATGATGTATGTTTTTTGCAGAATACTCTCTTGGTTTCAAAGCTCTGCCTCTGTGAATTAAAAAGCACCTAGATGATTCTGTATCGCATTTCTCTAACAGATACAGTACTTTGTACAAATGACCAATAGTATTAAAAAAGCAGGCAAAAAGTTGCTAGTTGCTTCTGTGCACTCAAGTCACTTTGTACATTGATACCTGGGCTTCTAAATCACTGAGATACATTGGCATGTGGGTTTTTTCTTTTTGTTCTGTGTTTTCTAACCAAAATAGTGGAGATGACAGTTTATTTTTTTATTGTATAGGAAACAGGCTGTCAGAGTCTTTAAGTAACTTGCATGCTGAGAAGACGAAATCCTTTCAAAACAGGACTTCAGTTTACCATCTTTAGAAATCTTTCTTAAATTTTAAAATGAAGTAGGCAAACTGACAGAGTTCACTGGTCATGTTAAATATAATATGGAAATTATTATGCTGCACTTAAATGGCAAAAAAATGCTTAACCTGTTAATTTAGAAGGGGCCTTGATAATACATGCGAGCAGCTTTTATTGAAAATGGTATGTGTGAATTTTCCTTTTTGTTATGTGGATTTTCTCTCCATCTGCCAGAGGATGGCAGTATTAATTAGGTTACTGCAGTGTATAAATTTGCTTCAAAATGTCAGATTCCATGCAAATCTGACATATTATTAACTTCACAAAAATTAATTGGATGCTAGAGTACATACTCAGAAGCTTATCTGGTGAACTATAATGATTATATAATGGTGGATAATAAAATTAGCTAACGTCTTGCATGTACAGCAATGCTTATCATTTTACTCTACCTGTTATAGCATCTAAGTTGGAGCTAAACCAGTAGCAGTCCTATTTCTGTAGAGGTTTAAACTGGAAAAAGTCCCTTTTTTTTTTTTAAACTTGTTTTTGACCCTTTTGACCTTTCTTAATGAAAGGATAACTAGCTGCGTTTAGGCGCAATTGTTAGTAGACATGAATTCATGAATACTACTGAATTTCCGTAGAGTTTTGTTCAATTTCTTTCAGTGGGAGTTGGATTTATCATATGTTTGGACTTCTAGCTAAGCTTCACCCTATTTACGCATATGTGAATCCCTAGGGTGTGATGCCACACCTCAGATGTGCAGAACAGTGCTTTTAATCTGCATTTCTTAAACATTCAAAGTAGTTTTGCAACATCTATAGCTTTTTTGTGTGGATTGTAGATAGTAATCAAAAGGAACTCTACAGAGGAGGGTATGGTGAAGGTTTATAAATATTAATGTTTTAACTAAAATTGTGGTCAGATTTGCTGTTCTGGATATACGTGATCGGGATCATCACTTGTTGCCCCAATTCCATTTGTCATTGTTTTGAGCTCCCCACCCCTTGGAGGCTACTGCCTAACATAACAGCTAGCTACTGCTAGTGTAACATCTCTATGGCTTCCTGACCTATTTTTTCAAAATGCAAGTCAACTTCTCTCCCCTCCACCCAGCCTAAAAAAAACCAACCCAGAAACCCAAGATTGCAAAAACCCCTTACGAGAAAATTCTAGAAATAATCTGAATCAGATTATATTTCATTGAGCCAGAATATAGGAAGAATGAAAAAGGGTGATGGCAGGTGGCTATGGACACTAAACACCTCCATCTAGGTCATTCAGAACACCACATCAGACTGTAGCCTGTCATTTGTGTGACTATATACATTTGTTATCTCTAGATGATGTAACTAGACCAAATGAAGAGCCTCCTGTGACAGCCATGACTCTTCCAAGTGAGTCAAAGATTAATATGCATGCCATAACTTCACTAAAATTATTGGAATATAGGTAAGTGTTTTGAAATATTACCTATTTCTAAAGTTGTAAGAACACTTTCTATTTTTTGCTTTTTTTTTTTTTTTAATCCCCTTCATGATGTTACCAAACTGTCTGCAAATCCTGCTGCATTTGTGCATTTTTCACTTTAATTTGTGTGCTCAGGAATAGGCAGATTTGAATTGCAAGGATTTTTTTAATTATTTCATTGTATTATCAAGTATTCTGCAGTAACATTCCTTTTAACTCACTGAAATGCTTAATAGCTTCAGGTGCTTTTAGTACCTTTTAAACTTCTTTTTCATTAATTAAATTTTCATTAAGTCTCAGAACATCTTGTAGTAGGTGAGTATCTCTTCAGTTATTTCTTAAATGTAACCAACAATGTCACTTGTTATGTTGGGCAAGGGGAAGAAAACCCTGTTTGCTGAGAACTGCCGGGTGAAATGCATAGTCCTGCTGAGAGCTGGAATGTGGAAAGGACCTCACTGTGGTGAAAGGCCTGGGATGGCTTTGGTCACCACAAATGTTCAGGAGCTCCAAACTGAGTAGTTACCCAAGTTACACGTCACTGTGCTGGGGATATTTTCTAAGCTGAGTGGGGGAAATCTGTTTAATGCTAATCTTGGTACACTTTCTGGCCCAGTATGCAGCGTTCACATGTTTGTTGAGGTAGTGACATAACTCATCTCTTACTGATTTTTCTTAAGCAAGACAACAGGTCAGGGTGCCAGTGTGAAATGATATTATCACCCAGATGCCGTGTAGCATGGTGCAGTGATAGGTCACTTTCTGATTAACAGTCCTTCAAAGACTTGAAATTCTAGATGTATAAATATCTATTCTACCACTCATTTTCTAAAAGAAGATGAAAATGTCTTGTTAGTAAATAGGAAATGAACTTGTTTGTGTTACTCAGCTAAATGCTTTTCATTGTTTAGTGAGAAAAAGGCAGTTGTGATTCCTGACGAAATGTTCAATGCAGTCAGAAGCAATCCTGTCACCACCGTCAACTTCAGCAAGAATCAGCTGAATGAAATTCCTCCAAGGTACTTTTGTAAAGGTCATTCTCAATTTGTTACTTACTTTTCTACTTTTGTTCCTCAGCATCATGTGTTTCTCCTAATCAAGTATATTTACACTTTTTGCTATGTATGCATGAACAATACACTTGCGTTTCTAGTATGACTAGCATGCAGTTGGGTTCATTGATTAGCATGAATATTGCAGTAAAAAGAAGCTTGGCTATACTCAGTGGTGCTTTCATTACATGTTGTTTTTCATCTTGCTTTGCTAAGCATTGTTGAAGTGAATGAGGGGAGACTGATGTGACTTCTCATAATAATGAAGTGCTGTACTTAACTACAGTGTGGTATTGTTTTCGCTACAAAGCAGTCTTTTTCCCATATGAAGATAATCTGTGTGGATTCACCACTTTATTGGGTGATAGCTTTGTATTATAGCTGGGGTTCTATATAAATTTGGTTTCTTCAGATAGCATAATTGTTTGTGTGGTTTTTTTTAAGAAAGCCTGAACAATTTCCATGCCTCTTTCCTTGATAGGTTTTGTGTCCCATCACATAGCATTTGATATTATTGCACTTGTTACTTCATCCACAGCCAAGGAAAAACTTTCTGCTGACACTAATGGGAATAAGTAGTCTTTTTTGTGTAAGGAGGAAGGTTACTGCATCTCCAGTAGCCCAAGAAAATCCTGAAAGCTGATTTTTAAGGATACCACCACATTTGTGGGGGTAGCTTATTTCCATTCTTGGACCCAAGCATGCTGAACATTTAACCTTTAGCACATACAACTTGAAGAGGTGCGATCTCTTCCTCATAGGAAAAAATCTTTTTTCAGTACAATTTGTAGAAAATGAATTTAGTGAGATAATGCTTGTGCCTCCCATGCTTTTTCACTGTATTAGAGGCTGTTGCGTTCACTGAGGAGGAAGGTGTAGGTGTGCAGCTGCTAGGTGCCAGAGGATTCAGTGGCAATCCAGATAGGAGAGATGAGTATTTAGCTCATTTAATTATCTTTTTGGTTTTAGGGCTAAAACAGAGGTTCTGTTACAGGGATTCAACAGCTAACTTTTTGAGCTGTTGAATAGTTTACATCAAAATATCTTAATACCCTTCTACAAGAAGCAGCAAATGCTGTGTTTCCTGGAATTTGTAATAGCAGAACAGTGGAACAGAAGTGAAAGATGGAAATAAAATAAAAATGTCTTTCTGTTTGTTTGGCTGCTAAAGAAGATGGATAGTCTTGTTGTTAAAACACTTCCAGGGCAGGAGATGGCAGTGATGGTCATCTGTGCCATGGTTTCTGAAATACGTCTTAACTGCATTTCAGTGAGTAGGCTTCTGTAGTAAAATTTACTCTCCTCATCAGTGAGAGAAAATGTACTCTTCTAATAACTTTAGAAAAGTGATTCTGAGCTTTGTCTTTACATCAAGTGTAAGACTCCAGGACAGGCAGCTTTCACAGGTGAAGTTTCCATTATCTTCACTCCACAAAAATGCTTCTGAAATGTCAAGAAAGAGGGTGCTTGATTTGTAGGATAAAGCAGGGTTTTTTTTTTTTCAATAACTTAGAAGATAGAATGCAAACATGAGCTTACATAATAATAGAAGTATATTCATACTTGATTTCAGGATTGTGGAGCTGAAAGACTCGGTTTGTGATGTCAACCTTGGCTTCAATAAAATCTCATCTATTTCCTTGGAGCTTTGCATGCTCCATAAATTGACACATTTGGATATCAGGTCTGTGACGTGTGTTGGACTTCCTTTCTTGGTAACTTACTTTCATGCCTTTTTAAACCAGCCATCTGTTACAGTGGAATAGCAGTACTGAAATAATTTTTCATTTCCCAAAATGCCTCCATGAGAGTTGAATGACTGGCAGATCTGAAATAGCAAGTGGCCTAGATGTGGGCATTGGTTAAAGAAAAACACAAAAAACAAGTGAACAAGCTCTGAGACTTACTGTGATGAAAGGTCTTGCTTCAGTCATAAAAGGGTCTCAGAGATGTTAAGTTGCTGTCTAAAAACAGCCCCTCCTCCTCCCCCAAAATACCCCAAACCCCCACACCAAAAAATCCTGCAGGATAGCTGGGAAGTAGTACAGTGAAGGTACAAACCCTGTTGTGCTGCCTGAAACTGAAGCTGTCTATAGGTATTTTATTTGCAATAGATAGTTACTTACTGTCATTTTACCTTCTCTACTTCTGAAAAATGTTCATGGCATTTGTTTCGACATGAGGATCAGTTTGCTGGCATTTATTATCTTTGGTGTTTCACAAAATGAAAAATAGCAAAGCACAGTTGCAGAAACGGGTTTTTACTTCGGTTTGGTTTAAAGTAATCTGCCTGTGCCTGGAGAGAGTCCAGCAAGGGGCCACCAAGAAGAAGGGGCTGGAGCATCTCTCCTATGGGGAAAGGCTGGGAGAGCCGGGACTGCTCAGCCCAGAGCAGAGCAGGCTCAGGGGGTCTCACCCATGTGTACGAACACCTGCAGGGAGGGTGCACAGAGGACGGAGCCAGGCTCTTCCCAGTGCTGCCCAGGGACAGGACCAGAGGCCATGGGCACACACTGACACACAGGAGAGTCCCTCCGGACATCAGGAGACACTTTTTCACTGTGAGGGTGACCGAGTGCTGGCACAGGTTGCCCAGGGAGGTGGTGGAGTCTCCATCCATGGAGATACCCAGAACCCAAGCGGACATGGTCCTGGGCCACCTGCTCTAGGGGACTGGACCAGATGAGCTCCGGAGGTCCCTGCCAACCTCAGCCAGTCTGCGACGCAGTGCCATACATGCTGCTGATGGAGGAGTTAGGCTGAAGATTGCAGAAATGGATGATAACATGAGATTGATAAGGGAACAAGGTTGAATATGTCAGTGATTAGGAATTTAAGTCTAAGTCTGGGCATCTTTTAGTGAGTGGTCTTTATTTTCCTGTAATCATAGAATCGTTAGGTTGGAAAAGATCTTTAAGATCATCAAGTCCAACCATTAACCTAACACTACCAAGTCCACCACTAAACCAATTAAGGGTAGCATAATAATTAATTTCATGTTTCCTGGCTTGGTGGCTGGATTATTTTTTAATGAAAGAAAAACTAGAATAGAGTCATTAAGGCTCTTCGTGTCACACTCAAGACATACCTTGTTTGCCCTTACAAACCCCTGTCTTCCTTGTATTAAGAAGCTTCTGAATGGCTTCCTATTGTGGGAAACACTAGGGTAACAGTAGCCATAAACAAGTTTGTTACAGCAATTGGATACCAGGCTAAATGAATTTTGAAGAAGTTTAGAGTTATCCTACAGATTTACTTTGGCACCAAGATCTGGGGAGTTTCATAAGCTTTCCTCTGAAACGCAAGGAGCTGAATTGCCAAGCGGGTTTGTGGAGTTGTTAGATGCTTTGAAACACTTGGGAATCTGTAGAGGACAGACTTTAATCTCCTACTGGCAGAAATGAGATTGCAAACCTGGCTTGCATTAGCAAGCATCCGTACTTGAGCATGGTCTTGACCCATTTATAAGCAATTAATTGGTTTAAGACAGCATGTTAGCACTGATAAATGTGCATATTCTGTCTCTGTGGATTCTTAACTAAAACTTCGTAGAAGTTGGTGATCATTGTTTGTCTTCATTTGACACACAGAAATAATTTTTTGACATCTTTACCTGAGGAAATGGAGGCACTGACAAGACTGCAAGTAATAAATCTTTCTTTTAATAGGTGAGCAACTATTTAGATTTTTTTTTTATATACAGTAATAAAAAGAACTGGGCTGAAGTCAGTATGGTTTTCCTGTGATGTAGGAATGAGGACGCACTCGATCAACTAGCTGTGAGCTTGAAACAGATGAAGTGCATGTGCCTCTTTACACAATGGGTAGTGTATTTTTGGAACTTTCTGCCACAAAAGTTTTGGAGAGAGACAGTGGCAATTGGTTAAAAAAGAGATTAAACAATCTTATGAACAATATATCAAAAAATGGATACCAACAGGACTACCCTTTGGCATCCATAATACAGCCGTTCCGAATGATGGAAAAATCCGAGGGGAATGGTCCGCAGGAAGCAGCCATGTCTCTGAAGAGCATCTGCTATTGCTGCTGGTGCTCACAGCGGGGACACGGCGCTGGGCTGGAAGCACCCTTCCTCTGACTCAGCGGGGCATTTCTTAAGTACGCAGAGAATTGGCCATTGTTCTCCTTCTTTGCACGGGTGAGTCGCGTTTGTGTGACATGCCAGCCTCGTCAAACAAGCGTAGCTGGCCTGAGGTGCTGAGCTCTCACTGAGCAGCTTTCGTTCAGCTTGCTCACTGTGTGCAAGGTAAAATAATGGATGCTTTCTCCTTTCAGAGCAGCATGTTTAAACATTGACCTTAAATAAACAGAGCTAAAATGCTGTCTGATTTTAAAGGCTGCTAATGTTTTGAATGCCCTATTTCTGACTTTCACTGGTTTGCCTCCTTTTTCTTCCTGAAGATTTAAAGTATTTCCCAGCGTCCTGTATCACATCATAGCACTGGAGACTATCCTGCTCAGCAACAATCAGGTTGGGTCCATAGACCCTCTGCAGCTAAAGAAGATGGACAAGCTTGGAACACTGGACCTTCAGAACAATGACCTCCTCCAGGTGCCACCAGAACTTGGAAACTGTGAAACTCTGAGGTGAATGTTTTAAGTGATGACCTGTTTTATAAAAATATATTCTGACTGATGTCTTCAGGGCTGGTTTTGTCAGAGGAAAAAGTACTAATCGGCAGCATATTTGTTTGTAGGTCTCAATGCACAAAAAGGGTCTCTTACCATTTCTAAAACAATGCAATTTCTTCCGTATTTCCTCAATATTGTGGAGAACTGGGGGAGTTGTTTCATGATTTTTTAAAAAAATGGAAAGGCTTTGTTGGTTTGCGTAAATGTAATGTTCAGAGCCTAGGTCAGTTACCTCATCTGTATGTAGAGGCAGACTGCTGGTGCACCTACAGACAAGCCAGGTAGGTGAGCCATAGCACTGTCTGTCAGTTAATACGCTCAGCTCCTTACCTGTGCGTGTAACTCACGTTGCTACAAGAGAGACAGAAGAACGTTCTCTAAATAACGTATAGAGTCATGACTGTGCATATCCTTACATAATTCGCCTCAAAGACGACAGTTATGCGTAAGTAGTCTGTCATGTCAAAGACAACAAATTATAGGTCCCTGTGGTTTTCCCCTTTAAGGACACTTTCCAGAAGGACTTCAAAAATATAAAATAAAACACCACCCCAAGCAAAAACCTCCGCAGAGGTTTATGCGTACCAAAGAAGAGAGGGCTAGCAGCTAAGTTAGAAAGTGAAGGGTTACGATTTAACATCGTTCTCTCCTTTTATCGTGCCATTTCTGTATCTCAGAAGTTCTTTTTCTTCTGGCAGAGGCTTGCTGAAGAAGTAGGGTACGTGTGTATTGTGTGTCTACAATGCTATACCACCACTGATTTATTAGCATAAATTAAAATTCAGCTGTCTCTAAAGAAGATAAGTTAGTGTGAACTAGGGAAGCAGAAATTAAAATTCTTTCAGCAGAACAGAAGAGGAATTACTTACGAATTTCAAAAGAATCAAAAATCTATATGCAGTGTATGAATGTGTCGGTACAAGGAAAAGTCTTTTGCAAGTAACTCAAAATCTCTCTCTGTTTCTAGGACACTTATGTTAGAAGGAAATCCATTCCGCACGCCCCGAGCAGCCATTTTAGCAAAAGGAACAGCTGCAGTGCTGGAATATCTGAGAAGCCGCATTCCTACTTGATACGATAGCCTGCGTCCTTGGCAGACTCAGGAGTCAAAGTACAAGCGAAGTATTACCCGATCCGACCAGATGCTGTATGGTTTTACTGCCTTCCTCCTTCTTCGTCAACCCTTTGTTAACCTGGCCTGCGCCATAAAGCATTTCTAATACTGTTTGTAGTGTGCATGTTAAGAAAGAACTCACCTAGGAACTCTTTTCTCTTCCAGGCTGCATGTTTCAAGAGTGCATTTTAAAACACCACAACGTATGTTTACACTTTTTGTAATAAAGAATGCCATTGAAAGCTGCCTGTAGTAATAGTGACAATGTTTTTTCTACAATTAAGCTAATTTTTAAAAGAATTGTCAACATCAAAGTATTCGAGCGAAAGGCAGAAGCAGACACTTTGCTTTTTGTGTGCCTGTTTTATATCTCCCATAAGGTATTTAATCTCTCTTCACTGCTGCCTCAAAAAACTGGTTACTGGTCTGTATGTGATAAAATGCTTGAACCCTTACACCGTGTGGTGATGATAAAGGCGGGGTACGAGATGTACTGCAGGCTCTGCATATCTCACATAAAAGTAAGCAAAATGTGGTTGATGTTGGTAGCTGCACTGAAACAATAAATGTTTCCTGTTGGATGTATGTTTTGAGTTTTTTAAGACTACACTATGACTCAGTTTTCTACCCAGTAACATTTAGATACTTTTCATTTTTTATTTAAACACATTTCCACATCCTGAAAGTGATACCTTTATTAATGATAGTAATGCATCAGGGCTATTAATAATATAAAAGGAAGGGCTGCTTGATGCTGCTTGCCCTGTGACTGCAGATCCATTGCTTCGCTCTTAGACTGCTCCAGGCCTATGAATTGGGAATGGAATTGAAGCAGAAACCAGATGGATTCCCACTGGTAGGGTGTCGTGTGGTAGGTTTTGTTTTGGCTTTTTTCAGACTGCACGGAGTGCTGCTGTAAGCACACGGAGAAGCAGCAGCTGGCTGTTCGTACGGCCGTGTCACTGTACGTACAGCGTAGGTGCTGTGGGGAGGGTATGCACAGGGCCCACGGCAGCACCGTGAGCGGCACCGTACACGTGGCCAGGCGCAACGCTGGGCCGAGGTAGCGGCTTTGCTTCTAGTACTTGAGCAGCCTCATGTATTTATTCTCAGTACTGCACCATCCTCTCTTGCCAGCAAACAAAATCTAATGCTGTCCCTATGTATGGCTACTGCTCCTAACTGCAAGCTGCTGACTTCCTTGCAATCTAAAATTTAAATGAAGAAAAAGTTTTCAAGTAAAAGACATCCTTGCTAAGCTTTAGGAACAGAAATACGTCTCGCCCTTGCGTTGTCCTCTTCCATTCAGCCTCTGTGTGAAGGCTGCTGGGCTGATGTCAAATGGGTAGCCTTCCTGTGGTATGTGTTTATAAGAAAACATGTAATGAAAGCGTTTTTCCTTTCTCCACCTGTCCTTCCTGTAACACACCAAAATTTAATACAGTTCAAATCTAAACCTTCCAGGTTTTGACTGTGTCCAGAATTAACATAAAATGCACTTACTCATCCTCAGGGTCTTCAGATTTAGCGAGCACCTTTCAGCAAGAGCGAGGATGTGTGATGCACCTTACACACAGCTGCCCTGGACCGCGACCCCCGTTAGAGAAGGACCAGACCTGGCCAGCACGGCTGGAGACAGGCGAGAGCCCGTGCCTGGTGCTAACCTGCTCTAGAAAGAGAGGGACTGGGGGGTGGTGGAGGAAAGGGAAGGGGAAGGAAAAGGGGCAGGGCATTTCCTATGAAAAATCCATGATGGCATCATTGTGCAGAAAGAATGATGCCTTGTTGGAGCTTGAGCAAGTCAAGAGCTGTTCTCTAGTTACTTGGCTGATGAAGTGCTGCTGCTCTCACCGCCCCCCCGACTGTCTCTTTTGTTTCCCTGTCTTGTATAAGGCGTTTGTACCCAAAAAGCAGCGAATGCTGAGCATTTCATCGCAGCCTTGCAGTCGCTCCGTGTCCATATTTGATGTCTCACCAGTAGCTATGGCTGAACAAGAGGAGCTGCTTGCTTTTCAAGTCTTTCTGACGTATCTGGTAACTAACAGGAGTCTTTCCCTCAAACACTGCTTTGTTTGCTGGTAGATGCTGTGAATGTTTCTGCAGCTGTAAGTTAAACGCCTGATGAGGAAGGTGCAGTTGCTAGATAGCTGCACCAGTTTCAGAGATGGGTCGGTAACAACCATCTCGCTTCCCATGACTCGCAGAACAGCATTTTTTTTGGCAAGCTCAGATCCTTTCCAATAGTAAAAGATGACAAAAATTAATTACAATAAGGTGACATTTTTATTATTTATACAATAAAGAGACTTTTTAATGTTATTCAAAACACTTTTTTAAATACTGAAAAAGTTGGGTACACCAAAGCCGAAAAATGGCTCTGCTATACACTGCACAGCATTGTTTTAGTCCCTGTATTTGTTTTATGTACAGAAGCATCTGCAAAATGCATTCTAAACACAATATGCACCTTACGGATAAGTGTCATACATGAAATAAAACTGGAAGGATACAACCTGCGTGTGCAAATGAACTAACAATATAATTGATTGCACTCAATCAATAGATTTAAAATATAATTTTTAAGTACCTTTTTGCACATAAAATGAAGCAGCTTTCAAGTTCAGTAAGTCTTTATACTGCAAAAAACATTAAGTACATTCACAATCTATGTTAATAAAGTAGTAAATATTTCCTCATTCAGCTTTATTTACATTAATACTGTAATTAAACTGAAAAGTACAGTTAGTCATTTGTAATATAGCAATCTTTTAACACATACAAAAATGACCATTTTCTGTATATAATTTAAGCTCAAAATCACAATTTTCTCAAAATATTAATTACAATACAGCCATCTCCATCATAATTAAACATGTCTTTTATAAAATGGTAAAATTTTTAATAAAGTAAGCTGTTGGTTCTGAACTGGATACAGTACTCACAAGTAGAAAAACTGAACTGATGAGAGCGTTTGTTGTGCCCGGGGTCCGGGGCAAAGCCACACGTGCTAGCAAAGAGACAGAGAAGGCCCCAATTGACAGAGATGAAGCCTCTTGTGCTGCAGGGCTGTGGCTGGGTCGGTGGTGCTGCAGAAAACGCCTTACGAGGGCCGTGGAAATTCTTATGCAATGCAATGATGTCATTCACTTCCAGAATATTTGCTGGAATTGTCCAGGAAGAGGATTGGCAAAAGGCTTTTCTTTGTTTTTTTTTTTCTTTTTTTTTTTTGAGAAACTATTTAAACTCTATGATTTGCAAATACTGTCTTTTGACATTTGCTTTTCCATGAGCGGTGACGTCAGGCGCCCCGCACGCCCTCCGCGGGGCAGAGCGCGGGCGTCCTTGCCTGGCCTCTGGGTGCCACCGCTGTGCCGCACACGTGGCTTGATGCCCGCCATCACACATACCCAAACCCAAGGTGTTCAAAACAAAACCAAACCACCAATTAAGTCATATCCTATCCAAACTACTGGCCTGAAAGTTGTATCGTTACGGTGTATTCCACTCACGCTGGCAAGACTGTCAAGTGAAATAAATCCTTACATCTGATTGCCTGCAGATGAAATGGTACATCTTTGTGCGCTTGCTTGAAATTAAACTTTTGAAGGCAGAAGACTAGGGGAAGAGCGCTGAGGCAGGATGGGGAGTTGGTACACACTAGCCCATAGGTAGGGAGCTCAAACTTCAGCTAAAACTTTATTCTCATTTGGAAATTGTGAATGTAGAATCCCACCAGTTAAAAATACTGCTAAGGTAGGTGGTGAATCCACAGCCCGCGACGGAGGCTTATCGCCTCCTGTGCCCGTTTATGAATTTGGGGAAATGGATACTCGTGTCAAATCCTATTTCTCTTTCGCAGGGCTCGCCTGGCTGTGTGGGAGAGGGGTAGCACTACGGTGAAACAGAGAACCCCACGCGCTCGTGAGCTTTGCTTCCGTTTAAGAGGCTGGGCCGCACAGAGCCCGAGCGCGAGGCCGTCGCCTGTCAGCCGCTAGTTCCCGGAGGTGAATACCCTGATGACACCCGGTCACCCTGGTATTGGCCCCCGGGTCTTCTCTTGAGACCAGATCCTGCGCGTCAGCAGATTGAAAGGTACGGTTTTCATTTAATACTGTCTTTGCATTTACTGTTGCATATATCCCTATCAGATATATACATATATACACAGATATCTATAAGTAAGCATTTTTTTGATTGCATAAGGTAATTAAATGCTATATTACAAGCCAGAGAGGTTTAACCAAGGAACGTCTTTACATTCAAAGTGCTTACTAGCAACAGCAAACCAAGCTCCTGAACGTTTCATACTCTAATTTTTAGTTGGATTTTTGGCTCATGAAGATTAGTGGTGTTACAACATCTATAACATTAGCGATTTCACTTTTCAGGTGTTCCATATGAGCTAAAAATACGGCTATTACAGCAATGTTTCCAAGGCCTTTTCATTCCTATTCAGAAAAAGGCCACCCTATAAAAGCCTCAGCAATCTTTCAGGCCACGTGTTCCCAATGAACCTGTGGAAATTGTTGCATTTGCTGTCCTGCGGATGCACTGCGCTCAGCGTTAGGAACTTACCCCTCGGCTTGGCTCTTGGCTGTCACTTACACACTCAGCTTTCTCCTGCCCAGGTACCCGCGCGGAGACACCGGCCCGGCGCGGCCCTCCCTGGCTGGCACACCCTGTCCCCACCTCAGGAGCCAACGCAGTGCCGTGAAACATAGATGCAGACATGGACATGCTAAAAAGAAATCTTGGAAAACATCAGAACGGATTTGAAGATGTTAAATGATCGCTATTATGAACAACTGGCTTCTAAATAGCATAGTTTATCAACAGCCAGATCAAAACTGCAAGCTGCGAATGGGAAAATGGGTAAATTATTAAGACTGGAGAGTCCTGGAGTCTTCCTGAGGTCTGGTCTTAACTTTTTTCTCAAAATAAGAAAAGCATTTTGGAAGCAGCTTTTTTTCCCTTTTTTTTTTTCCTTTTTTTTTTTACTTCCCTCTCCTTTCATTTTTCCCCTGAAGAGCTGCCTTGTAACAAGACTGCAGAAAAGCAAACGAGTGCCTGCCAGTCTGGCCACTGGGTTTTCAGCACAGCGGGTACTCAGCAGAAGAGGCCCCGCAGCCGGTTACGGGGTACAAGGGGTAGCACAGGAATGGGAGCTCTGCCACCGACCACTGAGCTCCTTAAAACTTGTTGCAAAATAAGGATAAGGGAATTACATCGCAGGCGTCTGTTTTTCAATCTAGCCCTTCCCTGAGGATCGTTAGTTAAGCATTTATTGCATGGAAAAAAATCTAAAAGAGCGGAACTGCACGTTCCCAGCTAACGGACCTATTGCCATGGGAACGTGCGCGCGCCGCGGCACTACAGCGTAAAGCTGGCGGGGGCGAGCTGCCGGCCGCACGCTGGACTTCCCCACGGGATTTCTAACACAGCCTGTTTCAGTCAGGATGAAAATGTCCATTCGTAGCTTTAGAAAGATACCGAGTTTGAGTGCTTGCAGAGTCAGTGTGGGAGAACCTACAGCATATTTGGGAGGGCTGAACAGCTTGAAGAAAGGAAACCATCTGCATGCTGAGGCTGTGCTTGCCTGGATCAAAATTCATTCACACACATGCAAGTGAACCCACACGTGGAATTCACCTCAGTGTGAACCGTCACCTGCCTCCAGCGCTTGCCATAGAATCACATTTAGTTTAAAAAAAAAAAAAAAAATCGTAATTTTGTGCAAAGCATGCACGTAACCTGGTACCCGACCTGCAAACCAGGTTGGATCTGATTGTGTCTGTGAGGTTACAGGAGACCTTCCAGCAAAGATAAAAGGTGCAAGCTATTTTGAAGAACTAATGTAAAAATCCTAAGTAGTCCCATTGAAGTAATTTTAATTGCTTGTAATACTAGTGCTAGCTAAACATAATTTCAGCCAATTTGAATAAAAATAATGCCAAAAAGAAAATATTTGGTATTTTGGGGGCAGTGAGGGTTGATGTTAAAGCTTCACTACTGTAAGTTTCAGCTGGGAGTCCAAACTCTCCCCCTCAAGCCCCTTTCTAGGGTCGGTGGGAGTTTTGGCTAAGTTAAAGACATAAATGTGACATTCCACTGCACTAACTTAATTTTATTTTAATTTCCTTTTCATTATAACCCATTAATGAAAGCAATCGGCAATCTTGAAATACAGTTCTGCACACAGCCCCACCTGACTGTGCCACTGTGCTTTAGATCTAATAAACTCACCGAGCACAAAATGCGGTATTAACAAGCACTGAAGCTCACCTGCTTTTTTCAGTTCACCTTAGGTCCTAAGGCAGAGCCCTCGTCATCCTACCCATCCTACCAGATTTTTGGTGCTAGCTACGTAATATGTATATCTAATGCTGCCACACGTCTTGGGAGTCTGTCTTGTCGTTTTGCTTGGGGGGGGGTAGTGGATGGGTGCATCGTGTTCTGTACGATGACATCAGACAGCATTACAGCATGATTCAAAGCTGCTGTAGTCATTTACTCCATTTTCCTGCCCGAAGCAGTCACAGGAAGGATTTGTGAGCCGGGGAGCTGTGCTGTCATGAAATGCCTACGGCGTGTGTAACAACAGCCGTGCCGGTGCACACACAGCTGCCTCGCTGTGTGGGTGCGTGTGTGGTCACATTCAGAAGAGGGATTTTCTGCATGAAAAGACAAAGGCAGCTCCACAGAGGAATTTAGGTGCATAAACGCCTACTAAGGGACCCAATTCCCATTCAACATAATTAACTAAAAGCCACGTAGGTATCTACAATTTTCCAAACGTGGTGTTGAATAAACCCTTATTTCTTTTTTTAAATGGCAATGAAGACTGAAGAATGGAAATTTTGGCCTCTCAAATGCCATGAATGTTAGAAAAGTTTAGATGGGCTCTGCCAGAGCCTCTGTGATTTGATGGCACCTTACGAAATTACATACAGGTGATGGAAAACTGAGAGCTGAAAAAATTGAGCAAATAATGATCCAAAGCCAAATCATGTGACTTCAGCAAGCTTTTTCAGCTTGTGATTCAAGAAGATTTTAATTTACTGAAAAGTATTCATTATTTAAATTTATGTTACTAATTATTTAAATTTATGAACATCACAAAATCATTCATTCAAATTGTAAATTTTAGGATTAGCATCACCTGTGGCTCACTGTGGCATCCGGTGGTGTGTTGCCACTCTGGTGGTACAGAAGCTCTTCCAGTAGGAATGCTTGCATGGATAAAATAAAATTCATGTGATGTGGGCACCTGCTCAGTCAGCTGGGAATTCATGTTTCATTAATATTTATACTAATAAATTTAATCGTTCCTGTTGATTGAGGAGAAAAAGGGAGATGCAAAAAATCAGAGAATAGGGAATTTACATGCAAACGTGGAAGTGTTACCTTCCAAATGATTGCTAAAGAAATCCCCTAGCGCAGCCGAGTCTGGGGCTGCAGCTCTGCACTGACCTGGCACGCTGGCTTCAGTGCCACAGCCTGGCTGGACTCTGCTTCTCAACAGTTGCCATGCAGTTAAAAAAAGAAAAAAAAGAAAAAAAAAGGGAAAAAAAAATTCCAAACAATTAAAAAGCTGGTGCTTCATAATAACATTAGGGGCTAGTTACTACTGTAGTACCTAATCTGTAATTTAGTTTTTATGTATGGGGTACTTTATCTCTCCTTTCCTATGTGCACAGGTGGTTTTCTTAATACCACCCTCTCCCACCACCCGAATCCAAAGCGCTTGCTAGGCATTTAGTAACCTCAGCAGATTTCTCTTCCATGAATTCCTCCGGCTTGCCTTGAGCCTGGCGCGAGCCCCTCGCACACCAACCTGCCTGTGCAGGAACTCCGAGTACTGGTGTGTTTCAGTGGCATCGGGGACTCATCGGCTGCCAGGAATGCTGACAGCACCTTCCGTAGCTCAGGCCTTCCGCTTACTGTACGCAGGACTGCAGCAAAACTCCACAAAGCGTATTTATACCTCTGTGGGAGGAACACTAGGTCCATATAGCAGACAGGGCTTTATACCTAACGGCAGTATTGTCTTTTGAAGTTTAGTTTAATTTGAAGTATAATTACCTTGGTCAGCGTGAGCTTCATGGGAAGAGAAGAAAGGTTTAAGACTTTCTAGAGGCTCTTGCAAGCAGAAAAGTAAAATGTTCCTGGCCGTGCCCATGTGCTATAGCTACACTCCTCTGACTCGGGTTTTTCAGGGTGTTGCTAATCCCGCTGGGAAAGGTGCGAGTGAGCCTGGCCCTCCCGGAGCAGGTTCCGGCTCTCCCTGCAGTCCGTTGCCATCGGTGTCATTCAGGTCAATGGAAACTGCATCCCTTGAAAAAATCTCGTGGGAGGTTTTCTAATGTTTTTCTGTCCTGCTGCCAGTTACAAACACGATGGACACCTGAACTGCTAAACCAACAGCAGTTTTGCAAAGTTCTGTGCTGTCAGTATTCTCTGTTGGGAGCAGCACCAGGACTTTCACCTTAAGGCTTTTCAAACTGCGTACGTCAGTGGGAAAGCTTTTCCCAGGCGCAGTGTCATTCGCTGCTCCCCCCCCGTGATGCATCGTGTCTTAGATTAAATCTGCTCCCATTCATTTTAAAGAGACTATTACTCAAATAAAGGACGGTATAAAGGTTAAAGCCTCCCTGATAGTGAATATAGCGAGCAGGGACTAGCACAGCCTGGACCAGAGGAAAAATACAGAACCAATGTGAGACCGGGGCAATGGGCAATGTAAGTAAAGGGCCTATAACCTTCAATTAAAAAGTTAAATAATAAAATTAGCAGCAACAGAAGAAGTTTTACTGCCACCCATCGCAACCTTCTTCCATTTATGAACCATACCTGTCTAAACTCACTGTTTGTCCATTTAGTGTGTTCACATGGAATCAACTAAAAGTATCAAACAAAAGGAAGTTAACCAATTTTCATGTAGGTTATTTATACCTAGGTCCCAGAGTTGACAGTATAATTTATTAAGTATCTCACCCTGTATAGTGACATTTTTACTAATTAATATGGAGCCAGCTATACACACTGCATATGTACAGGTATTTTCATAAGGCATATAATATCTTTGCATTGAAAATAAATGAACATTATTAAATTTAATTTAATATATACTTTCTTTGAGGTGTTTATGAAAATATTTTTTTCTCTATATTTTTGTATGTGACATGATAGAAATATTTCATGGGAAGTACAGGTTAATATATTTTATCTTTATAAAGGCATATACAACTTTGAGGCAGTGTTTCTGATGGACAGCAGAATTCCTAAAGAATTTGTATGTGCTTCTGTGTTTTGAAATCATATGAAATTGACCTTAAGAAGTAACTTGATTAAAAAAACGCACCAATGCACAGCCAGAGGCTGACAATTAAAACTAATACATAGCCACATGAACAATATATTTATATAGTTAATATATTTTTTCAAGATGATTGGTACTAACATATAGTATTATACATTTGGCACTACCGTTTGCCATTGGTCCAGCAATTGGCAAAAAATTTGTTTCCTATGTATAAATCTGTTTGAACATTAGATCTGGCTAGACATATTTACTATTTATAAAAAAATATTTAGACAGTAAGCTCACGCTGAATAACTAGGTCTACTGTATTCTGGAAACTCTTCAGTAGTAATACAGCTTTCTCATGTTCCATATGTACAAAACTGTGTCCATTTGCCTGTAACACAAAAACAAGAAGAGAAATCAAATGAGATTCTATTTAGCATCTTCATTTTGGGGGAGCAAAGGGATATATGAAAATTAAAAACAAGGCTAAAATAAATAATAATCATATAATGGCTTCCCGCAAACAGAAGTTTGACTGTTCCACTGAGAGAAGACATTTCTCTTTTCCTCTGTTGGACAGATACTGCACGCCCCTGCTTTGAGCAGGGGCTGGACTAGATGACCTCCAGGGATCCTTTCCAACTTAAATTCTTTGGTGACTCTATGATATTCTGCATATTTTTTGAAGAAACAATAACTCTGGGATGTAAGAGTTGCAAACGCTGTGAAGCGCAAAGGAAGTTAATGCTGCCAGAATGCATTGCTGACTACAAAGGAGACTCTGGCTCGGATCAGATGCAGACATACTGCATATGCAAAAAGGGAAAAATTTACTGAATACTTCTGCTTTAGTGCTAGCTGAACCTGTCTGGTGCAACGCTACTTAAAATAGTCAAATTTTAAACATAATTACCAACAGTTTACGGAGTGTCATCACTAAGCCAAAGTAGAAGATCCACCATTCTACAGAATAAAGCCAGCCCGTGAAGGTGGTCAGGTACCAAACAAAGATAATGCTTGCTGCAGACACCTGCCATTTAGCCATCCATGAAAGCCTCAAGACTGCTCCCTAGGTGCCAGGTAAGTCCTGAGACTCCCATGGCCGTACTGCAGGGCTCGCACACAGCTGGGTGAATGCTCAGCTGGTTCAAAACTCCCCCTTCCCTCCGCAAAGACACCAGCAGAAACCTCGACTGTCCTTTACCCGTGGAGCCCATTGCTAAAGGCACAGCGAGACCACGTCCGGGAACGCGCGGGTGTACAGCTGGGTCTGGCGCTATGCAGTGGTTATGGAGGCTGCCAGCGCTGAGAAGGTGATCGAGAGGCAGGCTATAGGGCTGTCCGTGGCACAATCTGGTCTCTCTAGCTTACAGCAATTCTATAAACACACTGCACTTAAACAACATATATCTATATTTTAAATAACATTTAAAAATAGGTTAGTGAAGCCTTCATGCATTGGTTAATAAACTACTGCTGCTGTGAAATTACAGCCCAGTAGAACTACCAGATATCTGTTGCACATATCCAGACCATTACACATTGCTATCTTCTTGCCCACAACAAAACCATACTACGCCACATTACATATGGGAGACAGACTTCAAGAGCCACCCCTTACCAGCAGTCCGCACGGCTGAGGCATTGGACAAGCAGCACAAAGTGGCTGCCAGAGCCCCCCAGGGTGCCCACACCTCCCCAGCTCTCCCGTGCCCACTGCCGGTCGTCTCCTCACAGAAGTTAAGATCCTCCCCCTAGACCAGGCCCTTGCTGAAAGGACGCCCCATGCCCTCTCACTGTATTAATGGATGCCCAGGCCAAAATGATAATTAAAAGAAGTGCTGTGTGCACATCTCTACAGGCACAGGAGGCCCATGAGTGTGGTGGTGCTTTCTTGGCACTTGAATGTTGAAGTAACAAGTGATAGGATGAGAGGAAATGGCCTCAAGCTGCGTCAGGGGAGGTTTAGATTGGATATTAGGAAAAATTTCTTCATGGAAAGAGTAGTCAAGCATTGGAACAGGCTGCCCAGAGAGGTGGTGGAGTCACCATCCCTGGAAGTGTTCAAAAAACAGGTAGACGTGGCACTTTGGGACATGGTTTAGTGGGCACGGTGGTGTTCGGTTGATGGTTGGACTGATGATCCTAGAGATCCTTTCCAACCTTAATGATTCCTAGTTTTTACTTTCATTAAAAAATAATCCAGCCACCAAGCCAGGAAACACAAAACTGCTACTCTACCTTTAATTGGTTTAGTGGTGGACTTGGTAGCGTTAGGTTAATGATTGGACTGGATGATCTTAAAGGTCTTTTCCAAAATAAATGATTCTATGATTCTATGATTTTATGTTTCTGTCCAAAGGTATCAGCTGCTGCGAGCTCTAGCACTGACGACTGCACAGGAATGGCAACGGGCAGGCACAGAGAAAAGGCAGCATCCAAGCAACAGTGAAAAGTAGCTCACTTTTATTCAGCTTAATAGAATAAAATATATTTGCTCTGAGAAACAGGAATACCAATTTCAGGCAGGAAAAGTTTCAAAGACATTCACTTAGGTGCCAAAATCAGGCAGCCGTTTGGCATTCAGTTTGAGGTCAGCTCGGACTCTGATGTAATTCAGAGGGAAACTGAAGAAGTTTCAGTTTATTCACCACACAGCTCACTGGGATCTGTATTGCTCATTCGGGAAGAAAAAAAAAAAAAAAAACCTGCAAACAAACCTGAGAGCAGGCAGCTCTGCCCACTCCCCTTCTCATTTTCAAGCTGCACAATAAGGGGTACAGGACAACTTTGTGCAGGTTCAGGTCTAGCTAGTGGAGAAAACTCTTTTCTGCAAGAAAAGTTTCTCAGTGGAAGAGGGCTGTAGGAGATACACATCCAAAGATACCTAAGCAGGCCACACCCAGAGGGATTTGTTATTTAACATATAAATGAATGATAATTGGAATCTACTTCTTTCATTCCTGC